GCCTCGCCTGTCCCTCCGCTCCCTCAGGCTTGCCCGACACCGACAGCTTTACCTCAGGTTTCCCCTCGCCCGGTCCCCCCTGGGCTTGTCCCGACTCCCCAGAGTTACCTCAGGCTTTCCCGCCCACAGCCTCCCCTCAGGTTTCCTCCCTCGGGCCTGCCCTAGTTCCCCCTCAGACCTGATCCAAGTCTCCCCCTTTCCCTTACTCACTCCCTCCCAAGTTTCCCCCCCGCCCCAGTCTCCCCAGCCATTTTGCTGGCTCTCCTTCCTCACACCAAGTTGGGGGGGGGTCCCCTCCCCTCCCCTCGGTGCCCCCAGCAAGCGGTGAGTGCTCCACCCCACCGAGGGGTGCAGGCCCCGGCGTCAGGCTTGCCCCCGATGCCCCCCCAGCCCTGCCAAGTGAGCACCTGTGGGGTTGAGCTGAGCCTCACAAAATGGCCTCGGAGGCGGTGAAGGTGATCGTGCGCTGCCGGCCCATGAACGAGCGGGAGAAGGCTCTCGGCTGCAAGGCGGTGGTCAGCATGGAGAGCGCGCGGGGCCAGTGCTTCCTCCAAAACCCCGCCGCCGCCGGCGAGCCCCCGAAGCAGTTCACCTTCGACGGGGCGTACTACCAGGAGCACAACACGGAGCAGATCTACAACGAGATCGCCTACCCGCTGGTGGAGGTGAGTGGTGGCCGAAGCAAGGCAGACGCAGCCGGCACGTAGCTTGGGACGTGGGCTGAGGAGTTTTACGTGGGTAGGTGATCCCTAAGTGGAACTGATTTATGGACAGAAACAGCCCTGTCCGCTCTTTCGAGTGGCTTAGCTGCGACCCTGAGGCGCAGAGGAGGGCAAAACAGCGGTAGGCTGGGAAACTGGGAAGAAACAAAACTTTTTCAGCAGCCTGCAGGGCACTGAGGATAGAATTACATTTAATTGTTTTAGGCGGATGTTTATATGAAAGATGAACCCCCCTGGGCAGGCCCTAGAGATGGTAGCTCGACAGAAACCGCAGTGGAAAGCGATGTGAGGAGAAGGGGGACAAACAAGACTCCTGATGATTTTAGGGACAGTTTTACCATCGACTTAGAGACGACAGGGAACCTCAGCCTGGTTTAGACCAGCAAAACGAGAGGGAATATGTTTGTTTCCTTGTTAACACATCAGCATGGTAAACAGCTAGGGTGGGAAAGGAGCTCGTGAAGCAAAAAAACCCCAATCCCCCCCAAAAAACCCAATTTTGTTAGAAGAAGAAACAGGGATAAAATGGCTAATGATATTTTTAAGATGGAAGTTCCTGATCATGAGAACAAGCAGGGTCTGAAACAATAGATTATTAGATTAATAGGTTATTTTTTTAAATTTTATTTAAACCTTAAGAAATCCAAATAGCTTCTGTTCCTGCTGTGTTTCTCTGAAATAGGAACAAGTGAAAGCGAGGCTTCTTTCAGCCAGCTTCCCAAGAGAAAATTATTCTAAGCTGGAGACCGTCCTTTTGGCCACCCTAGAGTCAACTAGCACTCTAGGTGTCTCTCTGGGTTTCATAAGATTTTTCTGCCCTATGGCAAAAGTACTGTGGTCTTTTAAGCCTTGTCAACTGCCCTTCCACTTTTCAACACCTGTGTTTCTTCTAGTTTTCCATTTTTGAGAGAAATTTATATGCTAGCAGAACGCATTTTTTTATTATTGTCATACTCTGATGGCATATCAAGGTCAAGCAGTTGTTTGAGCTTTACTTTGAGCTCTTCCTTTAAAATACCTTTTATGAGGTGGGATTAAATCTGGAAACATACTTCCAGTTACGCAGAGGGTGAGGATAACGGCTATTTTATTTGGTTTTCCTCTATTTCCAGGGTGTCACCGAAGGCTACAATGGCACCATATTTGCCTACGGCCAGACTGGCAGCGGGAAGTCATTCACCATGCAGGGAATCGTGGCTCCTTCTACACAGAAAGGCATAATACCCAGGGCGTTTGAACACATTTTTGAGAGCGTACAGGTAGGTGTGTAAGGATGTGAAAGAGATCCTGTTGTAAGATGGTGTGATATTGAGAAAGGTGATTTTCGTGTCGTACCCCAAGGACCGAGTGCCGATCGCACTCGGGAGCAAGAATGGGGACGGGCTTTTGGGTACGCTGCCTCTCGTCCTAAAGCTGAGCCCCTTGTATGGTCAGAGGAACTGCGCCCTCCTCTCTGCTGGCTTTACGAGCTCGCGCTTGGGATGTTTAAGGACTGAAAGTCCCTAGAGCGAGTGCGTTGAGTAGTTACACCTGGGCATGCCAGGAGAGATTTGATGAAGTGCTGACGGGAGGTAGGCACCCAGCTGGCACTGAGGATCTACGTGGGCTGCCTACTTGCCTTCATTTTGAGAACCTTACCCAAAAATCATTCCTGTTTTGTGCAGTGTGCTGAAAATGCCAAGTTCTTGGTGAGAGCTTCCTACCTGGAGATTTACAATGAAGACATACGAGACCTTCTAGGAGCTGATACCAAGCAGAAGTTGGAGGTGAGGCAGAGTCAATGTGTTTTAATGAGGAAGCGCTTTAATTTGCTCAGATAAATGTTATCGTGAATGCCTCGCAGAAGTGCGATAATAGGCGCTGTCAGAAGCTGAACACCAGAATATGAAGATAAGAGTGATGAATATGGAAACCGAGAGGAAATTTTGAGGGACTTTACTGAAAGTTTAGTGGCAGAAAGAACAGGACCCAGTCCCACGTGTCCTGCTTGATAACAGCTGGTAGCTTAGCAGAAGCTGTGTGAAAATCATTATTGGAGAAGGATGGAATAAAGTGCTCACGGGGCAATTTCTTCCTAATCCTCTTCATCTCACGGCTGTCTCTAAAGCAGGAGGATTCTGTGCCTTGTAAATGTTTAATCTGACCTAGGGTAGCTGTGGATGATCTCATTATCTGTCTAAAACAAAAAAGGCTGATCCTTTTTTGAGGGGACGGAGCAGATATTACTCCCCATGGGAACGCATGGGGAAGGCAGGCTGTTTCCAGGAACGCAGGATGGCAAACTTTCCTGAAATCCTAATCAGGGCACTGATAAATTGGTGGCTTTGCAGATCCTTTTGCATGTGTTGCTGGAGGAAGCTGCAAATCTTCTGTCCTAATTCACTTCCCCGCAGGACTGCCCTTGTGAAGAAAACCGAGGCACTAGCACCCTCTGCCGCAGATGCGCTGAGATGGTGACGGGCCCAAACTGCTTTACGGGCAGATTTCTTTTTTAACAGCCTCCTGGCTTTCAGGGAGGCAAAACCCTCTCTGCTCCGCGTTCCAGGTGTGCTTGGTGTGTGCGTGTGGAGAGCGAGGGGTGGGAGAAGGGGACTCGGCTGTTTCGGAAGGCGCTTGCTGCAGTTTCCTATCCTTTGTTCCACATCAGCAGTGACACCGGTTTCCATGACGACTGCAGTTGGCACTGGGAGGGCAGGAGTTGGGCAGAACAGTTGCCAGGGTAACACCATCACACCGGTGACAGCTGCTGCCTGTTGCTGCCTCCACCGAGTAATTAAGAGCGGCATGTCCTGCCGAGACCGAGAGCCCAGGCTGACCTACTGCTTTCTTCCGCGTCCCTCAGTTCTCCTCCAAAATCCCATTTCTGTTTGTTCCTTTGCCTTTCAACGTCAGTGACTTTGGTGACTCTGAAGCCCACAATCGCCTCCTGCGGCATGAAACCCTCTGAAGTGCAGGTTTTACGGTGCTCTGCAAAGAAAATGCCCCCATCAGTCTGTCGTGGAGTTAAAAAACAGCCGTGCCCTCGCTTGGGTGTTCCTCAGGGACTCTGCAGCACCCTCAAGTACAGCCGGGCCAACCGCAGCGTTCTCCTGTAGCACAGGCAAAAGTCACGGGGTATGAACAGTCCGGCTGTGATTCTGTAACTGGATTCATCCTGGGCAGTCACGGCTTTAGAACAAGGCTAAAATCCTGCCCAGTTTAGTTTTTAGCCAGTTCTGCTCTGTTCCGTGCAGATTTTTTAAAAGCAAGTGTTCTATTTTACATTGCTTCTTGTGGCGCGTGCATCACTAAAGTACCTAGGGATCTTTTTGGAAGCCGCGCTGCCGAACGCCGTGTCTGTCACCCCGTGACACCCAGTCATGACAGCCATATCTTGATATCCCAGCTGACACGATAAAGATAGAGTTTTGGTTCTGAACTCAGCAGATGTGAGGCGTAACATTGCTGGTGAAAATGAATTCAGCTTCGTTTAAAATTCCCAGTGTGGAGGGAGCTTCAGAGGGGGCTGGTGTAGGAGTGCAGGCATCTCTCGATTGTTTTGTATTTTTTATGTAGGTTTGATGGATCGTTCAAGATTTTGAATGTTTCAATCGTTTATTAGCATGCTGTGTGAAATTTTTCTTCTGCATGATTGATAATTGCTGAAAAGATGCTGTTAGGTATTTCACACTTTGTCTCTATCCAGGTGCCTGAATAGGATTTTGGAGAATCTTAAAAATGAACTAATCTGGAGAAAAATTATTATAGTCTGCCTGTGCGTGATGGGTGTGACTTTGGGAATTCTGTCAGGGAGATCAAGACGCCCGCTCAGAGCGGAGGGGTTCAGCGGTAACAATATCTGTGACTATTGAATCTGCGCTTTGATTTTTAAAAAGCTCCCTATGACTGAAGAGATATCGGAGCCTTTGCCATAATAGGTGAAAAACATTTCAGTTCTTATTTTAAAATATGCAGCTTAATAATAGGGGAGGTAGAAGGCGGCTCAGCGCAGCTTTCTTGTGGCCTGGGAGATGTCTGCATCAATCAGCAAACTTTTAACTTGAATTCTTTTTGCCTGCAGAGCTGTGAAGGTGCTTCCCTCTTTTTGTGTGGTTTTACTCCTGCTTCAGCAATACCGAAGCTTTTTGGTGGCAGCCAGATACGTTTTTGCCGTACTGCAGTTTAATTTCTCCACGTGCAAAACTCGCGTAGCCCTCCAGCTTCCGGACGGTTTCCAACGCGCCTTCCTGCAGTCTCAGTGCGTCTTGTTCTCACCTGCTTTGCGTTGTCCCTGTTTGCAGCTGAAGGAGCACCCAGAGAAAGGGGTGTACGTGAAGGGGCTCTCTCTGCACACGGTGCACAGCGTGGTCCAGTGCGAGCGGATCATGGAGACAGGCTGGAGGAACCGAGCAGTGGGTTACACCCTCATGAATAAGGACTCTTCCCGCTCCCACTCCATCTTTACTGTCAATATGGAAATCTACACCGTAGGTAGGTAGCTGGATGTCCTGCGTTAGGCCTGGGCTTAGCAGAACGCAGAATCTGTGCGGTCTGACGCGTCACCCCACAGCAAAACGTAGATCCTAAATGATTTTAGGTCCAGCAGAAATCAGAATGGTGCCCTGACATGGACATTCTCCACAGTGTGAAATGGCTGAGTATTCAAAGTCTTTTTTTTTCTTCCTCGATTCCCTCTTGGGAGAGAAATGTCTTACACTCAAACTGAGAACGTATTTCATTCTCCTTCCATTTCTTTACCTTTTTAAACCTTTATTTCCAGCAAAGGGATCTCACAGCCCATACAATGGCTTGGAGTTCATACATTGCACAGCCTGGAGAAACTTACAGCGTTATCTGTCTTGTCTGACCTCCTTTACAATGCAAGTCAGATCATTTCACCCGACGATTCCTTCATTGAGCTTAATCACGGGGCACGTCTCTTAAGCAAACAGCTAGTCTGGGTTTTAACATGGAATAAAAGAATCTCTTAATAATGTTTGAATGACTAATTTTCCTTTCTCGAACATCTCATTTCCATCGGCGTTTCTTTAGCTGATAAAGCTACCTTGCTGGGTCTGAACACAGACCTCGAAAGGGTTTTTTCTGGGACCGAGAAAGGAATTAGTCTCCCGTGTTCTGTCTAGTCCTTGACCCCGGCTGAGGCTGCGAACAGCTTGGCTTCATTTTCTTCAGCTGTTTCCGTCACAGGGAAAGTTACACAATGTCTTCCTAAACTGTGGTTCCAGATGTTGGCGACAGTGCCTCATTTCCCTCTATCCAAAATGGTGGGGGGGGGGGGGGGTTTTTTGATTTTTTTAAATGCACACCGGGGGGGTTGGGGGGGGGGGGCCGGGAATTTTTGGAATTTGTCAAGTAGCACAGCTGGTGGATGCTAATCCTTGCATTACCTGGGTCCGTAAAATCCCAACTTTAATCCTAACAAGGAAAAAGAACTATTTACTCTCCTCTTTTGTGTTCCAGATGGGTGCAGGGCTCTTAATCTAGCCTGAAACGAATTCTCTGATTTAAAGCTTTGAAAACTTGTTACACGGAACAGAATGGCAGGTGGGGAAACTTGCAGTTTTGGCAGTTAAATGGAAGACAGCTGGAATATTTGAGGAGCAAGTTGAGGGTTCTGGCACAACCCCCGTAACTGGATGGTTCTACTAGGATAATCGTTAGTTGAAGTAGTCAATGAAGTTGGTATTTACGTTGTCATCTTTAGGCTTCGTGAAGAGGTGCATGGGGAAGTTCAAACTTGTTTTCCAGTTGAGCCTGTAGTAGATTATAATTTACAGGGAGTTGATATTTTAAAGGATCTCTTTGCAATTATGTGGACTAAAGTGACTCTTTAAAGTAACAATTTAGATTCAGGAACAGGATTATGGCAAATACCAGGCTCTCTGGCTGCAAATCTATGAAATGTGCAAGTTACCATCAGTATTTTTACTGTATTTAGAGTAGCAGATGTTTTATTCCTTTACATTGTGCTTAAGGATTGATTTGTTAATGAGAAGGACGTTGTAGATTTGGCCAGTGCTTATGCCACCAGAACTGGCCGAGGGGCTGTACGGGAATTAGCCGGGCAAGACTTTCGGGCCGCTGCAGGCAAGAGTCTGGGGACCTTCTTACACCATGGAAACTAAACCGCTAAGCCCCGCGATTGAAACAAACAGCCTCCCTGGGTAAAAGGACTGGCAGGAACCAAAACAACTTTTTAATTGCCTGTCAGTGTTTACATAAACCGGGGGAAGGAGGGAAAGGGTTAGAAAACCTACTCTTTGTGGCTGTCCGCTCACCCCAGCTCTCAGAAAGGACAGTGAGAGGGTGCTCTATTTAAGCTCCATCTGGGTTGTTTTTTTTCCCAATTCTCCCATGTTTTGACATGCCAGAAAGATCTGGAGTGAAACAAGTTTGCCCTGCAGCAAACCTTCAGTTCCACAGTTAGCAATCTGTTGCTATAACTGGAGAAATATCCTGGGGCAACAGATTTTAGATTTTTTTGTTTACCTGTGATCTTTTAACTTTCCCCCATGCATCACGTTATTCATTGCTCATGTTTAGGTATTGTCCACAGCCGTAAAGCTTAACTCTGACTAAATTGAAGGCTAGGTTTTGTAGAAATCTGTCTGGAAAAGAGCGGGCTCAGTTAAAACCTCGATGTTCTTTTTGCTCGGAGCGCTAAAGGAGCTCTTCCCTTGACCTTGGGGTTGTAATTGTGAGGGATGATTGGGACATGGACATCCAAGAGTGTGGTCCAGCGCTTGGGACAGCAGTCTGTGATTTGGGAACGTGTCCCCAACTCTTTGCTCTGCGTGAGGCTGGGAAAGTTCAGTAGCCAGTGAAAGCGAGGGGTTCCTCAAGCGACCGAATGCCCTTTCTCTTAGTTAATCATCACGTTAATCTGGCCTCAAAATGCAGGTCAGGAAGCAGATATTACACACACGAGGTGTGCGTCCAGGTAGCTGAGGAGCTAGCAGTTAACTTCAGCTCACGTCTTCTCTTGCCTTAAAGAGGCGTGATGGGAATGTCACCAGCTCGCTGGGTCTGACTCCTCACTCGCTGAGATCCAGCTCCTCATCCAGGTGGTTCGGGCTGAGTGCAGTCCTGATTTCTTGCAGTTTTCTTGTTTTTTTGCCTGCGTTCCTTCATTTTACTTTCTCACTGAGAATGTCATGAGTTGAGGAGGAACAGATGCCGCCGAGCATGCCTGTGTGCTGAGTCACGGCGCAGTTTTACAGCTATCTGGGCGAGAGGGGAGATCTGCTGGGCTTCTTGAACATTCAAGCCAGATGGTGGACCTTGATGGTATCTGATGGGATGTGCTTTTTCTTTTGAAGCACAGCAAGAAACTTCTTGAACACGTCCCTTGACTAGGGTAGGTTGGATTCCAGTCGTGAGAAAAGCTGTAGTTTGGGAGTTCATCGAAAAAACTTTTCCCAATGTAGTATCTACTCCAGCCTTTCCACAGTACTCAGTAGAGGGAACCTTCCTGCCTGTCTCTCCACGTCACGGTGGTGTTCAGGGAGCCTGCTCTTTTGCTTGCGCTCTCCAACTAGCCTTGCTCCAGTCACTGCCTGTTAACTCCTCATTTCATGCTTCTTCTCTTCTTTCTCTCCAATTGGCAGACACTGTTTAACTTCATGAAACAATCTGAGGAGGAAAAAAGCTGTATAAACTCATGGTCTGCCCTCGTTGCTTGCAGAGGGCTTTGCATGAAATTCTAAACGCTGTGGAAATACGTGGAGGGAGGGTGTGTGTTTGTGTGTGTTCACTAGGAGAGTAAGAATGGGTATTCTTACTCTGAATTCTTACTGTGAATTCTTATCTGAATTCTTACTGTGCAGGATCCCGTTCAGGAAAGCACTAAAACATGTAGTTTTAAGATTAAGTAGGTGTTTATTTACTTAATGGAGTCAGGGCCCAAATGCAGACAAAGTACAGGGCTTGAACTGGAGCCTAATGCCAAGAGAGTCCTGTTTCTTGACTGTTAAGATGCTTCCCCTTAAGAAGAGCCTAACCCGGAATTATTTTCTTGCAGATGAGCGAGGGCAGGACCACCTTAGGGCCGCAAAACTCAATTTAGTGGATCTGGCAGGAAGCGAGAGACAGTCAAAAACTGGAGCCACGGGGGAGCGGCTCAAAGAGGCCACCAAAATCAACCTCTCCCTCTCAGCGCTGGGTAACGTCATCTCAGCCCTGGTCGACGGCAGGTGTAAGCACATCCCCTACCGAGACTCCAAGCTGACCAGGCTGCTGCAAGACTCTCTCGGAGGGAATACCAAGACGCTGATGGTAGCGTGCTTATCTCCAGCTGATAACAACTATGACGAAAGCCTCAGTACTTTGCGCTATGCTAATCGAGCGAAAAACATCAAGAACAAGCCCTGCATCAACGAGGACCCCAAGGATGCTCTGCTGAGGGAGTATCAGGAGGAGATTAAGAAGCTGAAGGCCATTCTAGCTGAACAGATGAGCGTGAATAACTTGTCAGGTAGGAGAGCCCTCAGTGGCTCCAGACATGTTTTATCTTTGACAGAAAAAAAGAGGTTTTTACACATAAAATGCTCACTGGATTTAACCTCAACCTGTCCTTTACCTGTTGGAGGAAGAGTTCTCCATCCTGGTAATGGACTTTTCCTTCACTGTTGCCAAATTGACCTTATTCCACTGGTAAAGCCCATCGCAGTTATCCAGTATTTTCAATAATGACAAATTCTGTTAGAAAATGCTGACGTGATTCAAATCCTTGGTGGTTCTTTGTCATTCTGGCTAGAATTTGGTCAGTCGCAGAAGAGGGGTTTCAGCTGGCAGAGCAAAAATGAGCTGCTAAAGAAATAATAGTGTAAAATTCTTTATTAAATACATATATATGATTTCAAATTTAGCATTCAGCCCCTGTTCTCCGACACTGAATTTTTGACACTACAAGGGAAGTTTTGCCCTGCTGATGGCACTGCTGATGGAGAGCAGCGCAGTCCTCTCTGAGGATTCAGCCCAGCCTCAGCAGACTCCCTCTTTGCTGTGAAGCAGGAATAGCAAACGTGGGAAGCAACGGGTGAGAGCAGCCTTTAGGGAGCTGATCACCTGTTGAGAATTATCCCCTAAAAAAGGGCAACTTCCAGCAGAGTAATAAAGCTGTAAGATTTTTTTTTTTTTTTCTTCCCCCCCATTTCTGGCACCTTTCAGAAACAGCTGTGAAGAAAGAAGGCAATTTCCTTGTACCTTTCGTCTCCTTCCCAGTGTCTTTTATCTTCCAAATCTGTTAGCATAGCCCTGGAAACGAGTCTCCTGTTATTCTCTGAAGGAGATTAGATTTATATTCGCTTTCATATACCTGAAGCTTAAACCTCTCCCCCTCCGCTCAGCGCTGACTTCTCTCTCCCCGCACCTATGGAGTCCCAGGCCAGTGGGCGTTTTGGCAGCACAGATGCTGACACACGAGCGCAGTTTAAAGGAGCGCCTGGATTGCGATGTTCCTTGCTGGCAGCCAGGTTCTTTGTTCTGTTTCCAGGCATTCTACAGACAATCCCACCCCGTAATTGTGAGTGATTTTTATTTCTGCTTTGCTTTGTAGGGCTCCTGCCTGCTGAGACCGCTCACCTGGAAGCAAAGCCAGCTCCCCTCCTCAAACCCCAGTTAGATCTTGAAGCAGAGAAGCAGCTGATCAGAGAAGTAAGTCAGGAGGGCGTATCCCGTAGTGTCTTTGACTAAGGCTTGTGGGTTTTTATAATAATCATTACAAATATGGTGTAGGGCTGGGTGGTTCAGCCTTTTCAGAACACTTCTCTTCCTATTTTTTGGTCCTTGGGCTTCTACGAACAGAAAGTGCGTTGATGGAGGCCGTGTTTACAACGCCACTTTCTCGCAGCATTGTTCCCACCTCTCTGGAGGTGAATTGGAATGGATTCCCAAGAAGAATTTTTGAAGTACCTATAACAGAAGAAACTACATGTGAAACAGATTCCTCCTGTCAGAGGAGGGAGAAATAGGGAGGAGGAAAGCAGTAGTCAGAGGAGTTAGGAACAGTACAAGGGTGAAGATAAAGAGGAAATATGGAGCCAGGAGGAAGAATGAGGAGCTGGGGGCCAGAAGGAAATAAAACTCTCTCCTTGCTCTTTACAAAGCTCCTTCCAGGGCACCGCATCTGCCCAGGAGAGCAGTCTCTAGGGCTAGCTAGTCACCTTCCATCAATACTGCATCGACTTCAGTCACAGAAAAAGGCAGCGAATCCAGGGTGGTAAAGTTTTCTTGGGGTGGGCGTAAGATGTGACCTAAAATGGGCCTAGATGTGGCCTTGCGTACGGTCACAGGGCTGTTGTGTCAGGCTGTCTGCCGTGCCTTTCAGGAGTACGAGGAGAGGCTGGCCCAACTAAAGGCCAGCTATGAAGCGGAGCAGGCGTCCCGCGCCCGCCTCGAGGAGGACATCAGTAGCCTGAGGAATCAGTACGATCTCAAGCTGTCTGCCCTCGAGGAGAACCTCAGGAAGGAAGCAGGTGTGGACGAGGCAGGTGGAGGGCGCGCAGCGCAGGCTGAAGGTTCCCTGACGCTGTTAATACGCGAGGGGGTTGGCTTTAGGCATGAGCTGGTTTTGCAAAGTCGGATTCGTGGCAGCCGCTGCAAGCTTTAAAGTGTCAGTGACTGCTACTGCAGCAAGTGCTGCCTGGCAGCAACAGCAGTCCCTGCTCTCAACCCTCCCTTATTGACAGCAGGAGCGGTAACTCTGGCTCTCCTGGGCCACTCGTGAGACTCTCTGTCCCACCTCTGTCCTTTTCCCTATTTCCCCGACTTCTTTTCCCTGTCAGGACCAGCCTGGCCCTACCCTGTAAGCCTCGCGGCGATGAAATGCGATTTTGTGAGTTTCTTCTGACTTAGCACAGCGTTCCTCTGGAGGGAGCAGAGGTTGAGCTGCAGCGATGACTGGTCTCGGCAGGCACTGCTGTCTTGATCCGATTGGCTTTGCACAACTCACACGCCCAAGACGAGGGTGGTTGCCGCAGTCTCTTCCATCGCATGCAAATGTGATGCAGCCCTCGGTCTCCCAGTGGATTATCAACACCATCGCTTTGCTGGAGGCTGGATATTCCTCTCGCATACCTAGAAATTGTTGCCAGCTATCCTCTTCATTACTGCTTTTCATTTGTACTTCTGCAGTGCCTCAGAGCACATTTTGCAACGTGCATGTACAGCACCGATTGTCCAATATTAATTCTTGAACCTATAATCTTCGTTTTTGGTGCTATCGCTTTCTAAGATGAGAGGTTCTTTTTTTTTCCCCCTCTGATTACAAATCTGCACCCCTGGCCTCTGAAATAGATTGTTTGTGTGCGAACACGAGGACCCAGGCCCTCCCAACCCTGTAAAACCTGTGTTCCTTACCTGATACATGCTCTGGGTCTTTGACGGCTGTTGCTGACCAGCATGGGAAGGTACATAACGGACCTTTTCCTTCCAGACACACAGCGCTTAGCTTTCGGTGAAGACTGTGTGTGATGATTTCCCAGATTTACGCCCTGGTTTTGCAGAGCTCGTTACTGACATTGTGGGTATTTCCTCTTTTACTCTTCAGCTGCCGTGAGGACTGAAACTACTCCTGACGAGACACCTCTGCCCGAAGACTCTGTTGCTGCAGCAGATGAAGAACCAACGTCAGCCCAGGTACCGTTCAGGCTACTGTAGCCCCCTGGGCTGAACAAACCCGAGCGGGTAGCGTCGTGCTTCATCTATCCCGCTACTCGCATCGCGTCTCTTCAGAGCCGTGGCCTTTGGTTTCCTCTTGTCCTCAGGACCCAGCAGCGCCTGGGACGGCCCAAGACGCTGGCGGTGCGAGCAGGGGGAGTGCTGGAGCGGAGGTGGCGGTCACCGCTGAGGGGATCTCCCTGCCTGCAGACCAGCAGCAGGTGCTCGCCAGGTCAGTGAGGACGCTGCTCCTGCGAACTGCCTCTCGTGTGTGGCTTACGACACACACAGGCAAGAAGCAACGCTGCTCTTCCGTGATATCACAACTGTCGAGCTTCAGCCGTGAGTTCAGCGCAGCACAAAACTAGGCAGACGCACATTCTCTACCCCCAAATTAACTTTGTCCTATTTGGGCAGATAAATAGCTGTTAGCTGCGGCGTTCGATGATGCCAAGTGCCAGAATTATGAAAGAAAAAAATGTGGAGAGGTCTGTGTTAGCAGACAAGGATGCAAAAAAGCGTGTTTTCCTGATAACAAATCCTGCCTAGATCTGTAGGCAGGGAAACCTTTTCCTTCTCTGGCTTTTTGCAGGTGTAATTTATGAGGAGTTTGTAACGTTGAGTCTGGCGGTCGCTGACAGAGCTTAACCAAACAGGTTATGGAGGCAGCCTGCTTTTCCTCTTAAAAGCGGTTTTTGAAGGGCACTTAGAGCCCTCTCCTGTCAGTACAAGTAAGGTAGCAGCCTTCCCGCCGCTCAGCGTGCGTGTGGATGGATGAGAGCGCGTCCTCCACGACTCTCCCTTGTCACCGAGGTCACTTTGGCCTTTAACTCCCGCGTCTGACAATGTTTGCAAGACGTCAGCCAGACCGGACAGCGAAGTTCCCCAATAATCACCTGTTAGGGGCAGCGTTAGACCCGGGGCCTGGAGCACAGGGCTGGGATGCGAGAGCTGCTCGGGCTGTTTCAGAAATACACACTTTAAGCAAGTTCTGCTGATTTCTCTCTTTTACTCCGTTGCGTGGAATTATATTAAAATTAGAAATGCTGAGCGTAAGATATATTGTGGATGGTGGAGCTTGATTCTGAAAAGTCTTGTGTTTTGTAACCAGTCTTTCAGCTTCGCTGTGAGCGCCTGTGGCGCACGCTCGCTCTGTGGGGCCTCTCCCAGCTGAAAAAGGAGACATTAAGAAATCTAGAATGGCAGCGTCTGTAATTTGCAGGCAGTTCTCTCTATTAAGGGAGAGGTCTCCAAAGAAACCATTCGTTTTGACTATGTATCAAATCTTAATAGTCCCACCGCAGCGTTCCTTTTTGTGATTCCATTGTTAAAATCAAAGTTCTCCACAGATGAGGCGGGAGGGTTTGGTTCCGCAGGCGTGGGGATTTTCAAAGCCGCCTGTTGAAAGCTTTACGCGTCAAGCCGGCTGCGAGGGCTCGGATACTCGCTCAGCGGAGCAAGGATTCAAGCGCGCATTAAGCAAACGAAACCAAAGGCTACTTGGCAAGCGCGGTACAGTAGAAAGCAGGTCATCTCTGGTGGAGAACGAGCTCTTTCGGTGGGTTTGGAGATAATTAAGGGGCTGTTATCAGCGGAGGTTTTAGCAGCAGTGGGATTTTCTCCGCTTTAAGCCAGCGCTGGCCAACCTGAGCTATCTGCTCTGCTGCAGATCCCGGTGCAGACAAAGAGAACGACTCTGGAGCACGGCTTTATTTCCGTGTCGGAGCTTATGGGGCCGTGCGGCGTGGACGTGAGATGAGCTTGATTTCAAATACGGGGCTGTGCCAGCGCTGTAGCAGGAACGCCGAGATCACCCAAGTCGTCAATCCTGGCTGATACTGCCCCAAAAAAGAAACTACCGCGGCTTCCAGCCGTATCGCTCCCGTAGCCACCGTTTAAAATATTTGTTTGCGTAATTTTGGCATATTTTGTGCTTGCCTTGAGGCTTTGAAAACAAGAAGTAAGAATTGAAATATAAATTCCACAAAACAGGGTTTTTAAAAAGAATTCTGTGAGCATTGAGACAGATTTCCGGACATGCTTGTTGACAAAGGTGCTCAGAATAACACGCGCTTTGCCTTGGGTCCCCGGGAGTACCTATGACAGAAACTGTTAATAAAAGTGGAATTTGCCATGATTACTCAGGGCAGCAAATCTCGTCAGAAACCGCTGTTTTCTGTACCGCGTCTTCCCAAACGTCGTTCAGGTAAGGACGCGCGTCCTCCACGCTTACGCAGCTTTGTACCGCTGAGCTAAGAGAAGCATTTGCCTTTTGCAGGCTGCGGATGCTGGAGCGACAGGTGGTAGGGGGGGAACAGGCTGAAAACAAGGACCTCAAAGAAAAGCGTAAACGCCAGAAAAAATACGCGGACGAACGTCGGATGCAGCTGGTGGCCGCGCTGCAGCAATCGAACGAGGACAGCAGCGACTGGGTTCTGCTTAACGTCTACGACTCCATCCAGGAGGAGGTTCGAGCCAAGAGCAAGCTTCTGGAGAAGATGCAGAAGAAGGTGAGCAGCTCCCTCTTATCCCTGCGGAAGATTTAGGGAATCTAAATGTAGGGAATCCTCCTCTTTCTTAGGTTAAGGAGGTGTTTTAGGGCGGTATGTTTAGAGAATGACTCTGGCCGCGTGAAATATTTCACGCGCGTGCCTGCGTTAGCAGCTCTCGGGTTGTTTGCGTGTTATTTTTACGAAATACCAACCCTCAGGGTGGTGAACGGAGGTGCTGAACCCCCAAACCCCCTGTTTTAAAGGCCACTCTGATGGAGGGAGGATCACGGCTGGTGATGGGAGGGGATGGGACTCCCTCTACTGACCCACGCAATCCGTTGCACACCTTTCTCCAGCCCGCCCCAGGTGTCCCACCCGGCTTCCTGGAAAAGGAACACTGTGAAAAGAAAAAAAAAAAAAAAATTTAAGAGCGTTGCTTTTCTATTTTCAGCACCTTTGAAAATGATGAGGCAGAATCAGAGGAGCTTAAAAAACAAAACACCTCTGTGTGTGCGTACAGTACTAAACCTGCACGTTAAGAACTTGCTTTATTTCTGTATTTAGATTATCAAAGAAATTTTGCACCTTTTTTCATCGAAGTTAGTTAGGAACTCCCAAGAGTTCGTTAGCCCTGGACGCAGACCACAGCAGTGAGATTAACTGAAGGGGTTCATCCAAAGACTCGGTGCGTCGGAGAAAGGCGAGAAATCTTTCACTAAAGCAGATACGGAATAATCTCTCCACACGAATCTCATCCTAATTCTGAATTATCAATTAGAAATCCTCCCAAACGCTGAAGCTTTTGTGTGCGTCTTTCCATCCCTGCCTGACAAATTCCTGTACTCGCAGCCACCATCGCTCTCTCTCCTTCTCTCTATCCTTGTTATCCTTATAATAATCCCAACAGTTTCTTTTGGTTTTATGTCCCAGCTGCGGGCTGCCGAGACTGAGATCCAAGATCTGCAGTCGGAGTTTGAGCTGGAAAAGATCGATTACCTCGGCACCATCCGCCGCCTGGAGCGAGACCTGATGCTCTTCCAGCAGCTGCTGGATCAGGTGCAGTCCCTCGTCCGGCGCGACTGCAACTACAGCAATCTGGAGAAGATCAAGCGCGAATCCGTCTGGGATGAGGAAAACGGCTGCTGGAAAATTCCAGAACCCGTCATCCAAAAAACCCACCTGCCCGCAGGTAAGAGGAATGTCTGGATGATGCTGCCGGCGCGTAGCTGCTTCCCGGCTGGGCGGGTCGCTTCTGGGCTGCGCTCGGTGGTAAAATCTTCCTCGTACAGAAAGTTTGAAAAATAACGTCGCCTAACGCAAAGCACGGTACGGATCCTTTGGGAAGCGCTGCGAGCCCGGTGACCGGAGACAACGTTGAGACAACGACCCTTTCGCGCCCTCTCTTCCCACAGCAGTTCCAGCCCTGCCGCGGCCCAAACCTGCCCGAACGAGCCCCCCGGCCGACAGCGGAGAGCTAACGGTACGGCGCAGTCCTCCTCCCTTTTGCATCGCATTTTACCCATTTTTGCCGTGTTTCTAAGCCGTAACCCGAGGGCTGGCGCCGTTTCCTGCTTGCAGCCCGAGGAAGACCGCTACAAGCTGGCGCTCAACAGGCGCGACAGCGAGACCATCGCCAGCAACTACTTCCGACCGACGCGGGCCAGCCGCATCCTCCACCCCAGCCCAACCAAGGACCGAGGTAAAACCCTTTCTTTTATTTATTTTGCCGGCTTTCAGCTGAATTTTCCTCATTTTGAGGGAGCGCCGTTTTGGCTCGGCTCCCGTGACCCCCGCGGGGATACTTGGCAGGATGGGGCCCGTTTCTGGCCTCCCCCGAGGGCGGCCGCCCACCGCCGCCCCTTCCTCTCCTCTTCCAGCTCCCCCGGGGGCTCCCAGCGCCGCCCCCGCCCGGCCCCAGCCCCGGCCCTTCCGCCTGCAGGCCCTGGCCTTGGCCCCGCCGAACCCCGCCGCCAAGCCCCGGCAGGGCCAAGCCG